AATCATGTTCTCGGAAGGCCTGCTTGGGACGCTCTCGGGAGCTTACCGAGGTCTCCCAGACGCCCCAGGAGGGCCCATGAAATCCCAGACAAATCCCAGACAGTGAAACAAGCCAGTCTGGGATATGTCTGGGGTTTTCGACTATGGAGCCCAAGTCGAAACTCCCATGGCCTCATCTTGAGCATCCCTCTGGAGCCTTTTATGGATCCCTCTACGTTAAGTTGCATCCTGTAACACTGCATCCCGCTGCACCCCTTTAAGGTTTTCATATCTCTCAAATGTTTCTCTGGATTAGGGGGTTCGGACACGCGAAGGCGCCACGAGGCGCCGAGAAGAAGCCCGAGAGGGGCCCAAGAGAGGCTGAAGAGGAGCTCAAGAGAAGCTCAAGAAAGGCTCGGGAGGGCTCCAAGAAAGCTCCCAGAGAGCACCCCAGCAGTGGCACCCAAGAGGGCCCTTCGGTCGCCACTGTCAGCAGGCGCTCTTGAGGCGCTCTTGGGCTTCTCTCGGGAGCCTTTCGGAATCTTCTGAGGAGCCCAAGAGGAGCCCAAGCGCAGCTAGTTGGCCCTCTTGGAACCATCTTCGAGGCGTCTTGGAGCCCTCTCAAAGACCCCACCCGTGTCCAAAAGAAGCCCAAGAACAGCCCGGGAGGGGCCCAACAACACTCCAAGAGGACCCGAAGCTGGCACCCCGACAATGGCACCCACGAGCCCCTCGTGGGTGCCAGTCGGGTGGCCTTTGGGGGGCCCTCCTGGGGTCCTCTTAGGCCCCCTCTGGTCTACTCTCGAGGCCCCGTTGGGCTTCTCTCAGAGCCCTGGTGGGGCCGATCTGGGAAACCAGACAGAGCAAGTTGACCGAGAAACTTTATCAGCCGCCCGTCGGGCCGCTAAGATCAACTGCGCGCAGCTGATCTCAAAGCTGGAGTTTAACCGACCCGTATCCCCACTGGCGTGGCCCTCGTCCCACTGAGCGATGTACCCCCCCACACGGTGGGATGTATGCCGTCTCCCTCGGGTTTCATGGGGTAAACCCTTACCTCGGCGGCGGGGGAAGGGCACGTTGGTAGGAGGCTCAATGAGGGCTGGCGTCGTTTAGCCGATACTGAACAACCTCCGCCGCTTTCCCGATCCTCCCCCCACCACCCCCGACGTCGCGATTTTCTCCCAACGGCGGCCCTGGATGTGTGAACCTCTTCCCCGGGATCAACTCTACCCGGCTTTATTATCCTGAGCTGCTTGTTCGCTCCAGAAGACCAATGAAGGACTGTGGAGCCTGAAAACGGCCGAAAACGTTCCGTCGTCGTCGTCGCCCGTGGGGAGGGCCTCATGAATCCAAGTCCCAGAAGCCCTTTTCGGAACCTGAATGGTGGGAATGTCTTGAAGGCTGCTTGCGGTGTTCCGTCGTCGTCGTCACCCATGTTCCCATGGTAAGGGAATGATGAATCATGCTCCCGACAAGCCTTCTGGGGACATGATTTTTGGGAGTTTTTTGGGGGGCCTGCTTGGGGCGTTCCGTCGTTGTCGTCGCCTCTTGGGGAGGCCTTTTGAAAGCGCAAGGAATGATGTCCCCGGAAGGCTTGTTGGCAAAATGAATGGTGGAAGTGTCTTGGAGGGCTTGCGTGGGGCGTCCCGTCTTCATCGTAGCCTCTTGGGAGCCATGTTGGGGGCCTGATGAATCATGTTCTTGGCAGGCCTTCTAGGAACATGATTTTTGGGCGTACTCATATCTTCGAGAGCTGCGGATGATGCTGCGTCGTTGGCGTCGGCCATGCCTGGGGCCTGATGAATATGCTCCCACAAGGACTTCTGGGAACATGATCTTTGGGAATGTCTTTCGGGACTGCTTGGGCCGGTCCGTCGTCGTCGTCGTCGTCGTCGTCGTCGCCTCTTGAGGAAACATGTTGGGAGCCCGATGAATCATGTTCCCGCAAGGGCTGCTGGGAACATGAATTGTGGGAATGTCTTGGGGGGGCCTGCTTGGGGCGTTCCGTCGTCGTCGTCGCTCATGTTGGGGCTTTCCGCCGTCGTCGTCGGCCACCGATTATCGCGTGCCTTCAAAAAAACTGGGCGGGAAACCTGTGAAAGACCGAAGAGGACGAGGAGGAGCAGGCAACGAGGGGAAGAAGAAGAGCAGGAAGATGGTGCAGTCAGGTGATAATTATTTTGCAGAGCTGTGCTCTAGAGCTCGGACATCTTTATTTTCGTCGTGGTTCGTGGTTCGTGGTGGTTCGTCCCCCTCGGCCCCTCCCCTGAGCCTGAGCCCCAGCTCCCCTGGGCCACCCCCCCTGGGGACACCCCCTCAGTCCAGGCTTCCTAGGGCAGCCCCCCTGGGCCGCGGAACCCTTTATTTTCGTCGTGGTTCGTGGTGGTTCGTTCCCCTCGGCCCCCCCCCCTGAGCATGAGCCCCAGCTCCCCTGAGCCTCCCACCCTTGGGAGCCTTCCTCCGTCCAGGCTTCCTTGGGCAGACCCCCTGGGCCGCGGAACCCTGTATTTTCGTCGTGGTTCGTGGTGGTTTGTCCCCCCCCCTCGACCCCCCCCTGAGCCTGAGCCCGAGCTCCCTTGGGCCACTCCCTTGGAAGCCTCCAGTCCTTCGCAACTCCTTTGTGCAAGAGCCAGGGCACGCGTGCCACTTGTTATTACAAATATCGTGATCCGATGGACCCCCTCCTGGTCCCTCCGGGGCCTCCCCCTGGCCGCTCAAATTATCTAGGGGCCTTCAGCCCATCCTGCCTATTGGAAGCAGTTTCGAAGCATCTCGGGGCCGGTTTTGTCGGCCGGGTGCCTTTACCATAAGGATCAGGGCCCCTTAGATTTCCGGAACAAACTTTAACTTAGATCTTCTGACCCTTATCTTTCTTACACTTAACTTTAATCTTAAACTTTACCTTAGACTCGCCCCTTAGACTCCTTCACCTTTACCTTAGATTCGCCCCTTAGATTCGCCCCTTAGTCTCCTTACCCCTTACCTTACTTGAAATCCGACCTTAAATCCGACCCTTACCTGAAATCCATCAGTATGTCCGTGCTTTGTGTTTTCTTTGGGTGCGCACGCGATGCGTCGGTCGGGTTCGTTGCGTGTTGTTCTGGCTGGTTGGTTGGGCTGGTTGGCTGGGTATAGGTTCTGATGGTATCATGCACCTGGTGGCCTCCTTGAGGGTCAGCGGATTCTGCCGACACGTTTGGGGTTCACGCTGGGCAACACGTTTGGGGTTCACGCTGAAAGCTGTTTGGGGTCAACGCTGAACGCTGTTTGGGGTTCACGCTGAACGCTGTTTGGGGTTCACGCTGAAAACTGTTGGTGGTTCACGCTGTTTGGGGTTAAACGCGTCCACGCTGTTTGGGGTTCACACTGTTTGGGGTTCACGCTGACAACTGTTTGGGGTTCACGCTGTTTGGGGTTCACGCTGTTTGGGGTTCACGCTGTTTGGGGTTCACGCTGTTTGGGGTTCACGCTGAAAACTGTTTGGGGTTCACGCTGTTTGGGGTTCACGCTGAAAACTGTTTGGGGTTCGCGCTGTTTGGGGTTCACGCTGCTTGGGGTTCGCGCTGTTTGGGGTTCACGCTGTTTGGGGTTCACGCTGAAAACTGTTTGGGGTTCACGCTGTTTGGGGTTCACGCTGTTTGGGGTTCACGCTGAAAACTGTTTGGGGGTCACGAAAACTGTTTGGGGTTCACGCTGTTTGGGCTTCACGCTGAACGCTGTTTGGGGTTCACGCAGCACGAGAGATTTCATTGCAACATTGCCATCATATCGTAGCCGTTCTTGGTCGAGCACACTTTTCAGCAATATTTCTTCTGGCCTCATGGCCGCCCAAAACAGGAAGCCTCGTGAGATCGCCAACCCATCCGTTCAGCAGGATGTTATTTCAGCAGAAGTTGCGAAGTTCAAGGGTAGCAAGAGTTGGACAGATCTCGTGTTTTGCCACCTAGTGAAAGAGCAGCACAAGGTTACACCTAGTATGTTGGCGACTTTGGCACCCTTGCTCCAAGGCTTTATCGAGATCGGGTTCGACAATTGCGCACTGCCCATGCCGAAGGTCGAGACAGCGATCTTGTGGTCCATCCCCAGCGGCGAGAAACCCCCGACTGACTATTGCCAGACGCGCTGGATCACCGAGATAGCAGACCACGTGAGGCTCGTATTCAATGCGCTTCGCCTGTACAAGTTGGAGGGCGATAGCGCGCAGATGACGCCTTCCGGCAGGAGGCGCTACCCGAAAACTGGTGGATTTCGCAAGAGCATGAGCGCCACTGACAGCATCTTGGTGCACGGCCTGATCAAGAACGTGAAGCTGAACTGCGTGGAGAAGGAGTGCCTATCAGATGACGGTCGGTCCGTTGCGTCTCGGGTTTCGGCCACATCTACCGCGCCAGTGCCAATGCGCGACCAGCCTCCCGACACGCGACATGCATTGCTCATCCGCTACAAGGCCATGTTCAATCAGAAGTCGCCGCTCAAGCCTGTCAAGGAAGACGCGGTGGACGATGACGGTGGAATCGAGCCGACCATCGAGTATCCCGAGGAGACCAGTGCGCCCGCAGCCGTCGCCCAAGAGCACGCCGCCGTCGCCCCCGAGCCCGCCGCCAAGGAGGTCCACCCAGCGGCGCTCTACGACGAGGACGGCGTGTTCCAGGGCATCATCGGCGGCTCCAGCTTCCTCGGGCAGCGGGCGCAGGAGCGCAAGGCGACGGCGCAGGCATCGATTTAGATTCAAGTTGGGTTCAAAATGAGATGAGGAGGGGGACGAGGGAGGAAGACGGAGACGACGACGACGACGACGACGACGACGACGACGACGACGACGACCACGATAGCAACGACAACGAGAACTGTTTCGTTATAGCACACCTGGTCTAAATGCCCCCCTCTAGAAAAGGACACTTTGGATCCCTGGGAAATCGAAACATCTTCGGTATAATAGTCGAGGTCTGATTGGGGATTCAGTGCATGTAAACGTAAGTTTTACTTCGGAGCAATCGCACTAGGCAACTCGCAAGCGCGTGATGGGTAAGCAGCAGCCTGGAGCACAGCAGAACAAGCGCGGGAAGCCAGCCGCGTCTCCGAGTTCGTCTTTGATGGCCCCGTCAGCAGCGCCTCCCGTCGAGCTCCCCGAGCCAGTGACGCCCCGTCCTGCGTCCAAGGACCGCGCGGCGCAGAGCGTCGCGAAGACCGAGGCCCTCGTCTTCAGTCGGCCGAAGAAGTCGGGGCCAACTAAGGAGGATCGCCCCCGTGTCGAGCTCACGGCCTTTACCGATTCTAACAAGAGGGCCCACATCTGGACGACAGCAAAACCAGATGAGTTTGCCGCAATGGAGCGCCTTTACGTAGCCATGCAGAAGAAGCCGATGACGAAGGCACAGGCGCTCCAGCTTCGCGATTCTTTTCTTGGGAAGGTCGATCGTCCCACATAGGTATTCTTCAGGTGCGAGATTTCGGCTTGGCGAATGATAGCATCGCTGCTTCAGGTATGTTTTCATTTGCTGCGATTGCGGGTGTTCGAGCATCAATGCGTTGCATTGTACAGTTTCGTTCGACTTCGGCTATTCTGGTGACCGTGCCCACGGCTAGCGTTGATAAAAACTCCCCGCACCGAGAAGTAAATTATCTCAACAAGTGTGTGGGGTTCAACGGTTCACACTGCACTTTGTTTGGGGTTCATGCTGAACTGTGTTTGGGGTCCACGCTGAACGCGTGAAAAAGAAGTTGTTTGGGGTTCACGCTGGGCTTTGTTTGGGGTCCACGCTGATCCAGGAGGAAAACTACCGCAACAAAAACAGCTCCTAAAGAAACTACCGCAAGAAGAAACCCACTCAGCCCCAGTCCCGCTCCCCCAGTAGATAGGCATTTTGGCTCGAGCGAGTTCTTGCTTCAGCGACCTGATTCGATCGAGTTTCTCTCGCGAGAGAGATCGCAACCTGCATTCCGGAACCATGCCGCCGAATGGGGGGATGAAGCGCCCAGCAGCGGCCGAGGCTGGCGCGGCCCTCAAGCGCCCAGCAGCGGCAGCGACAGATCCCAGTGACAGGGCCGATGCTAAGAAGGAGATGTGGCAGATTGCGGCTGCTGGTAGCGCCGCCGCAAAGACGGCTCCAGCCACGTTCGAGGAGTCGGAGGAGGCCGCGCTTGCCATTCGCAAGGAGGGCGAGCCCGACCAGCGGCAGACGTCGCTTGCCCAGCGCCACGTCTTCAAGAGCAGCAGGGAGAGCATCGACCCTGAGGACCTCAAGAAGTATGACTGGTACAAGTCGACGGCGTGCAACATCAAGGGCAAGGAGCGCTTGGCCAACGAGATCATCAACGCGTACGTGCCGCGGGACGCGGGCTACGGGTCCACCATCGAGCCAGACCAGCGCGCCCTGACGCGCGTGAACACTCGGGAGCACGTGAAGAAGGACCATGGGCTACGACGACGACGACGACGACGACGACGACGACAACGACGACCACCTCATAGGACTCCGACATCGCCACGAGCTTGAAGAAGAACATCATGATCGCGACGGTCTTCAACGGCAGCAGGGCGGCTTTTGAAGAGGCCAAGGATGACGGAGACGTCTGGGCGGATCCCGAGGACGACACCCGCTACCAGTACGACCAGAAGATCAAGAATAACACCGACACAAGGAGCGAGAAGAAGACGGCCACGGTGGTTCTCAACCCCAAGGACAAGAAGGAGTTCATGGGCGCCATTGCCAACATGATGGAGGACATGGAGCGGCCCGAGTGGATGAACTTGGAGGTAAAGAACAAGAAGGAGAGGAAGGCCATCAAAGACGACTGCGCTGACGACACGGACATGATGCTATTGCAGAATTGCAACGACAGCTTCACGAGCGTGACCCTCGACTTGCAGAGGATGGCCCCTCAGGTGTGCCGCATCACCACGACCGAGGTGATCAGGCGCATCGCGCAGGAGAGCCTCGACCTCCTCAAGAAAGCGGCGGGGCCGTCCGAGAAGATTCAGAAGTTGCTGATGACGGACCCTAACTCCGTGCGCAAGCTCGAGGCCGAGGACGCCCTCATCGCAGCAGGCAAGATCTACGAGCAGCTGGCCGAGCTCCACACGCAGCTCAGGGCCATCGTCAACAACGATAAGAAGAAGCAGAAGGCCTCCCTCAAGGCCAAGTGAAGCCAGCCTGCGACAGCGCGAGCACTCAGCATCCTGTGCGCGAACCTGCTTTTTGTGCAGCTGCCACGCGCGGTCAGCCAGCTGAAAGTTAAAGGAGGGGGAGTCAGGAATGCCCCCCCCCCCCAGCTCGGGTTAGAAGAAAACGCAAGCATTTAGTGTCCCACAAGGTTGGTTTGAGGAAAAAACACAAGAAAAAATATTAAGGATTGTGAAAAACAGATAATATCAATTGCAGGTTTATCTTAGATTTATCTTAGATTTATCTTAGATTTATCTTAGATATATCTTAGATGTATCTTAGATTTGATGTGTATGGCGTCTTAGATTTATCTTAGATTTATCTCAGATTTATCTTAGATTTTACAAATCTAATATAACATCTCGTAGATGTTACAAATCTAAGATAAATCTAATATAAATCTAAGATAAATCTAAGATGGATATACACTAAATCTAAGATAATATAAGATAAATCTAAGATAAATCTAAGATAACTCTAATATAAATCTAAGATAAATCTAAGATAAATCTAAGATCCCCCTGACCAGCCGAGGTGCCAAGCACCCAAGGGGGGTCCCGTCCGAGAGGTCCCGCACGGGTAGCTGTACACTCCACATCAGGACTCAATCTTCTAGATTCATTAACCCATGATGCGAAGTCCACAGAAACCTAATGAGCATACCCATGTACGACAGCTGCTGCACCGTGCTTTCTTTATATGTGGATGACCACCTGGCGATCCAGGGTTCCGCCGTCGAAGCGGCTGGCATTAGGGGGTTCTCAGGCCCCTGCCGTTCTTCTCTGCTTCGGTGGTGGGCTCGGTCGCTTTGGCCTGGTAATGCCCACCAGGCGATCCAGGGTTCCGCCGTCGGAGCGGCTGGCATTAGGGGGTTCTCAGGCCCCTGCCGTTCTTCTCTGCTTCGGTGGTGGGCTCGGTCGCTTTGGCCTGGTAATGACCACCAGGCGATCCAGGGTTCCGCCGTCGGAGCGGCTGGCATTAGGGGGTTCTCAGGCCCCTGCAGTTCTTCTCTGCTTCGGTGGTGGGCTCGGTCGCTTTGGCCTGGTATGTAAATACGCGCATGGGCGCGCGCATAGATGAGGAGGAGGAGGATGAGGACGACGACGATGTCATGGTAGTCGCGGCTCTGTGCTGTCCAGTGCCAGCGATTGCAGGTTCGGAGTTCCAGGTGACCAGCATTGCTCGCCATCGCAAAAGTAAGAAACAATTGTGCTCCAGGAGGGGGAGACTCGAGACGACGGGCTTAGGGGGGCTGCGCCGTTTCGCACCAAAGCCACCCCGTTAAGATTCCCCGATTGCAATAAAAGTGCCACCAGGGATGACGATGACGGGGGGTTCGGGGGATCCCATCGCAGCGCTTGCGTCCCCAACTAGTGCTTGCATTCGTAGATCCACAAATAGTGGTTGCAGTACGTGCTTGCAGAAAGTGGCCCCAATCAGTGCTTGCATCCATGGATCCCCAATCAGTGCTTGCAGTAAGTGCTTGCAACCATGTATCCCAAATTAGTGCTTGCATTCATGGGTCCCCCAATCCCGAAGCAGTGCTTGCAGTGCGTGGTCCCAATCAGTGCTTGCATTCATAGGTCCCCAAACAGTGCTTGCAGTAAGTGCTTGCAACCATGGATCCCCAATCAGTGCTTGCATTCATGGATCCTCCAATCCCAAAGCAGTGCTTGCAGTGCGTGGTCCCGATCAGTGCTTGCACTCATAGATCCCCAAACAATGCTTGCAGTACGTACTTGCAGACGGTGGCCCCAATCAGTGCTTGAACCCATGGACTCCCACTCAATGCGTGCACTCATAGGTTCCCAAATCCCAATACAGTGCTTGCAGCGCGTGGTCCCAATCAGTGCTAGCATTAACAATGATAATACAACATGTCCACAGGTTTGCACGGATATCCCCTCCCATCTTCCCGATGTGGCATTGCAGTTGTGGCTCGAGCGGTAATCCTTCGCTTTGATGCCAGGGAGAGAACAGAAACGCGCGCGGCTGGAGGTGCTTGACACAGCGAACGGCACTGCAGGCTGCACGGGCAAATCGATTCTGTTTGCGTGGAAACACGAGGATTGCATTTGAAGGGGGCCTCTTGGAATCCAGGGGTGCGCTTCCAGGGAACAACATGGGCTCGAACATCGCCCAAGAGAGCATCGCTCTCTCTACGAAATCTGGTTGATCTCCTAAATCGAGGACTGAGGCACAGGGGTGCATGGGGGAGGAGGGAGATGAAGGAGGACATGTGGAGGGTTTGGATTCGGATTCGGAACGATTGCGAAGCAATATCAACCACCTGACTGGATCTAATCGCGGTGCGATCAGGGGTGGAGCGTTTGGGGGGTCCCCCCAAATTTGCTCCACCCCCCTCCTAGCCATGCTGGACTGGGACTGGGACTGGGATATGTGGAGGGATATGTGGAGGGTAGGAGGGAGAGGAGGAGGGAGGGGTGGAGATGATGAAGGAGGGAGAGGGGAGGATGATGATTCATTTGTTTTGTGGGACCGCCCGCAGGCACGGTCGGCAGGTTCGACAGCAAAGAGGGGCCCGACTTGATTCAAAGATAGGCCTGGGGCGAAATCAGCGCATCACATGTGCAGAAGAAGGCAGCCCTTGCATATTCTGACCAATGCAGGCTATTGAGATCGAGAGGGTTGAGCCCCGACCACGCATCAATAACATTGAAAGTGTTGAGTTCGATTGGCACAAATGGGAAAAACCAAAACAATTGTAAGCGCGATTTGGACGAATGGCTCGGTGATTCAAATGCTCCCCGCGCCTCCTGGCACAGTATTGAAATACATGACAGTTCTGCTCGCTCGGTAGAGTCTTCCACTGAAAACTGTGATTTGCCGTTTCTGCTACCGCGCCATTTGTTTGCGTGGATGTTTGAGTCGCAGCCGACAAAGTTCATAGATGCATTCCTTGGCCCTGGGGGCGGGCCCTCAACGCTTGAGGAGTTTTGGACTGAAGTTGAGTCGAGGGGCGACCCGCGGCTCGCGCACCACCCGATGCTGCGCATGCCTCGGTGGAGACAGAGGGCGATCCCTGTCGTGATCCACGGGGGCGCCGTCCCCGTGGTGGCGTGCGGCCGGGCTACGGCTGAATCGCTCGACTGTGTGTCATGGTCATCGGTATTCGCGAAAGGGGCAGTGACAAGCCAGAAGATGCTGATTTTCAGTTGCTTTGAAAATAGTAAAACTGCGATAACTATGGAGCAGGCTTGGGCTATCATAACGTGGTCATTCCAATGGTTGTACAAAGGCGCATATCCGAAGAAAAACCATCTCTTCGAAGATTATGCGCCTGGAACCAGCGAGGCTATGCTGGCAAACTCTGGTGCGACACTCGCTGGGGATTATTTCTGCGTCATTTGGTCCATTAAAGGCGACCTCGACTATTACGCAAAATGTCTCAAGTTGAAGCACTACCAGAGGGACGACTTGTGCGAATGCGATGACTGCGACATGAAGCACCACGACCCTGGCATGCACCCGTTCAATTTCACCCGCGGCTGCAAGTGGAAACGTCTTCAGCACAGCGCTGCAGAGTGGCGCCGCAAGCGTGGCCACAACGCACGCCAGATTTTCAAGGCGTTCTCATTTTTGTCAATGTTGAATATCGAAGCTGACGAACTTCACACACTTTGGATTGGTCTGCGCCAGTACGCATTGGCAAGTGTGTTATGGCTTCTGTGCTTCCGCATTCTCGACGGCACGATCAAAGAGAACATGGTGCAGGTATGGGCAGAGATCCAATCCCATGGGGGATGTAGCTACAGCAGCATCACGCTCAAGATTTTCATGAATGAGAAAAAACCTTGGGATGAGTTTCCAAAGCTAAAAGGCAGGGGATCTCAGGCCAAAAGCCTGGTCGCACCGTTGTTGCGCGTGTGGGCATGGCATCGATCGGATGGCGTACTATATGACACAGTTTTGAATCTCCTTGAGACGCTTCTTGAGATAAGTGACTTAGTGGACTCGACGGCAATGGAGATTTTCATGCCTTTAGCCGACTGTGCCGTGCTGGAAACATCAATGAACAAGTTCTTAGGGTTTTACACCCACGCAGGCCTACTCGCAGATCGCGAAGGCCTTTGTCTTTTTTCAGCGGTGCCAAAATTACATTGGGCTTGGCACTGGATGTCGAGGAGCCGTTGGCTCCACCCCCGTAGGGTAGCCTGCTGGTTGGATGGGGATTTTATGAAGCATTCTAAAATCCTCGCTGGGTACGCCACCAGAGGAACTGCAAAACACAAAGTACCGTGCTATTTCATGCCTCGATACGAAGACCCTTGCTTTAGCACAGGAATTTGTTTCAGAGTGAGCTGGCGCTCGCGTCTCAGGAAAACCAATTGCAACTACAACAACAAGAGGAGGAGCGTGAGGACGAGGATAGGGAGGATGCGGAGAGGAGAGGGAGGAGGCGGATAACGAGGAGGCAAGCAGGAGGGAGGATCAGGAGGGAGGCTGATCCTCAACTGGTAGAGAGCGTTTCCCTACCTCTGTGCCGTGTCCGTCATTCTCCAGGCTCTTTAAGAGGGCCCCAAGATTGCTCCAAAGAGGGCCCCAAGACGGTCCCAAAGGGGGCCCAGGAAAGCTATCCAGCACGTGTTTTGAAAGGGCTCCCCCAACAAAATCCCCGAGGGGCTACTAAGACGGCTCCAGGAGGCTCTAAGAGGGCCCCAAGACTGCTCCAAGGGGCCCCGAAAAGGGCCCCAAGAAGGCCTTGTATTCCCAGCTTCTCATTAAGGATGTAATAGCATGTCACGTCTCATATACAATGGAAGGTACGTGCGCAAATTCAATCCACATAAACATATACAACGTGCCACGTGTAAATGAAGATGCATATTTTTTTCTGGAAAAATATGGCAATACATATTGCAAGGCCGAAGCGCCACGGGCAGCAATACACATTGACAATGCGATGTTGAAAAGGAGAAGGGGGGATGATGAGGAGGATGATAACAAGGAGGAGGAGGAG